GGCTCAGTCAGTAGAGCGTGCAACTCTTGAACTTGGGTTGTGAGTTCAAGACCCACATTGGATGTAGAGATTACTTAATTTTTTAAAATTTAAATAAAAAGTTCAAATGTTCTGATTTTATCAATAACTACCTGTGTGATTCTTATCAAGCTACAGGGTATCTTTGGATCCCACTTTTGTCATTTGTCAAATTAAGATTTAGGGTTTGATGTTACACATGTAGAGTTGTGGAATTTTAATGCTAAAAGATACTTAGAGACCATCTAGTTGTACTCCCTCATTTACAGATAAGTAAATTTACAGATAAGGAAAACTGATCTTTTCTAGCTCTAAAATAAATTCAGAGAGGACCATATGGGTTCCTAACAGAATCAACTCTTGTGAATACTGTGACTACCCACCTACCAAATGTGTGGTTGTGATCCACGCATGTAGCTTCTCTAGATTTAAGTTTCCTGCTCTGTGAAATTCAAGGGGTCATGCTAAGTTTTCTTTCACATTTAAAACTTTGAGGATTAAGAAAGGCATCTTTGAAAACTGACATTTGTGCTACCCCTGGGACAGGACTCAGAATGTCATGAAGCATAACGTAAGTCTGGAAAGAAATTAGCATCAGGAACACGTTAAGAGCATCCATCCAAAGGACTCTGATCACAGGGTGAATTTGCTCAATGAATACTTAAATTTGAAAATTGCTTGATTGATGTCTTACTTGAAAACTAATAACCCAACATTCTTTGCTGTTGGCCCAAAAATATGGAAAAACGAACCAAGTAAGAGAGTGAAGTTTTGTTGTTCATTTCCTATAGATTTGGAGGCTACAAGCCAAAAAACCATCACTAGGTCCTTCTTCCCTAATGGATATCACATTATAACTAGTCTCAGCATTTTTCAATTGAGCATCAGAAGCTTCACAATCTATTAAACATTGTATTCCAAGTATCTGTTGACTGAGTTGTTACAAATTGCCAATGGGACAGGAACTGTCTGTCATTTCCAGAGCAATTAGTGTGTGAAAACTTATCAAAAGAAATCTGTCAAGTTTGAATAAGTATAAATACTGCATAGAAGTCCCTAAGGAAATCAAACTGAGTGGGATACATTTTTCCTCATTGCAGCACATTAGAATTTATTTTCTTTTATTTACTTGGCTCTGTTTTTTAGCATGTTGATAGCATGTCATTTAACCCAATGGATTAATGTTTTGCTCTGATAAAAATAGACTTTGCTTTTTAGAGGAGAACTAGAGTGTCTCCTTGAGTGATAAAGTAGTGGCTCCTTCCTTTCAAATTTGGAGAGCTCTTGTTTGCTTCCTGGAGGGAGCACTGGAATGGGAGTATGGCTAAAAGGACTCTTAGATACAGGTCTTCTTCGACTTAGGATGGGGTTACATCCCAATAAACCCATTGTAAGTAGCAATGCATTCACTTAGCTTAGCCTCCCATAAACTCTGAGAACCATCTGTAGTCTCCTTTGCCACTTTTTGACTCTGTGACCTTACCCTTTCTAGGCTTAAGATTTTTCATGTCTTTAAAACAAAGAAATAGAACAGGTGATCCACTGGGTAATTTTTAGCTTTACTGCACATTTTACCTGCACTGATGCCTGCGTTATCATTGTATTATACTTCTTATGCTCTTTCCCCCTTGTCCTGGAAAATAAAAATATACTGTTTACAAGAAGTGATATTTGCTATAAAAAAAAGAATTAATATCTTAGAGATGTCCCCCTTTCAGGAGGCTCAGCATGATCTCACCAGTGCACCAACCAAGATTTTTTGAATGACATTTGTATTTTAGGACTCAACAGTATTTACAAAGGTCACATGTTCAACTGATGTTAGTTATGATCTTTAACACCATCCATTTAAGACCATTTTTGGCAACTGTGGTATGTTCCTTTTTCTACACCATGGAAAATGGCCATAGTGTTATATTGTTATTATATTTTGGGAAGCTTATTATAATTTTAAATCAACATTTTGTTATTTTCTGTTGTTTAAACTCATTTAATGATCCTCCCAACACTGAAGTGATAGAGTTAATTATCTTCATGTTATACTTAACGTTTGTTGAATTGAAGTCATTACTATTTGTTCAGGGTTTCCCAACCTAGGTTTTGTGATCTATTAATAGATGTTTTAGAAAAATGGTATATATGTAGAGAGGACGAGGAGATTTTATGATCAGTAGAAGAGATTTTATTATCATTTTATACAGTAAGTTGGTATGCTTAAACTTATGCTCTAAGGAATTTGAGGAATCTTGACATATTAAAAATCTCTTGCAAGTTTTGAAAGGATAAATTTGAAAATCTATTAAAATTTATTTAATCTAGGTCTTCTCAAAGCCATTTGATCATGTAACCCATCTAAATTTAGGAGAGGTGGGAGGAAGAGAACGTCTGTAAACAAGAAATTAACATTCCAAGGACCACAGTTCAGGAAATGCTGCAGTATATGCTTAAGGTTGTTTGTATCTTCTCCTAAAGCACTAAGTCACTTATGTCACAAAAGCAGTGAAACCAGAATAATTAGCGTATTTTTAAGTAGCCAAACAGAATGTTAATTGGGTTTTTTTTTTGTTTTTACTTTTAAAATGGCTAACTTTTAATGATTTAGATGTGCTTATGATTCATAGTGCTTTCACATAAAAGAATCCTCACTACATACCTGCATCACATTTGTTATTATCCCTACTTGATAGGTTAAAAGTTGAAAGTGAGAATGTTTAAGTGTCATTCCTTATGTAATACAGGTTTAAATTTTGGTCTTTTTTTTAACTCCAATTAGAAAAATGACAAATTAGATGTCCTTTTTTCTTTCTTTCTTTCTTTCCTTTTCTTTTTTTTTTTTTTTCTGATATCCATGGTCCATACAACTTTCTAATTGCCTTGTCCCACAGAATTCAGCGAGGTTGCTATCACTGGCCACTAGCAACAATCTTGAGAAATGTCTTTAGAAAAAGAAAATACAGTTTTGTATATTTGATTACAGCTTTCCTTGGAGGTGTGGGTTGATTAATGTTGTGCTGGTAAATTACTTTCTAACTTCTACCTTGTGATTTTGGAGATGCTAATTTATACTTAAATCTCTCATGTAGCTAATTAGGGCATAGACAGTGTTCTCCTCATTGTTCATATGAGAACATTGATATGCTCAGAGATCTCTTGGTTTGCCCAAAACTCACACACAAATTGAGTGATCAGTACATAGTGCTGTGCTGTTTGCTCTGCTCTTTGTTAAAATCTCCTGTTTTTCATGGGTAAACAGCCATACCAATTGAACTTCCCCATGATCTCTTATAGGGGCTTTCCTCCCCCAGATTTTAGTTTCTTCAGGAAGTGACTAGCTTGCTGGGAAGCACTTGCTTATTTATACTGAGTATCCTCTTGACATCAGCATGGGGTTACTTATAATTACAGGCACATGCGTAAATAAAATGATTAACTATTCTCATATAAACATAATTATATCTCTCTAAAATAATACAGGAGGAAATGTTATAATCCAGTGATAAAGGGAAAGCAATCTGCATGACCCCTCCTTTGTATGTAAACAGTGGATTATTAAGGCAGAATATGTTTCCTGTTGCACATTTGGTTATTGAGGTCAATCACGCTTGGGACTCATCTAAGTATTAAACAACAAAAATGCCTTTATAGCAATTAGTGTTCTCTTTACAAAGCTGAAGCCTTTCTCCCATTTTCCAAGGACACTGCATACCTTTAAACTTCTGCCTAGAATTCTATTAAAGAAAGATATATAAGAATTCAGCCAGCTGGTTCTGAAACCAGAATCTTCTTTTGCATCTAGTTTTCCCCCTCCCCTACCAATGTAGTTTTTAAAGATAAAGTGGGGGCACATTAATCATTGCCAGTGCCTAGTATATCACTTCTCCAGCTTTGGACACATCTGGAGATCACACTTTAAAGGGAGGAACCATGGAATGCCTCGAGCTGAAGACATTTGATTTCCTTGGAGCACAGTGGTTCACTGCAGCAATTCATGCCAGCTCACTGTCAGTGAGGGTTCTTCTCAGAAATTGAAAGCATGGGATCACATATTCATTCGCAAAACATTTACCTAAGAAAAATTAGAACTTTGTAACAGATGTTTTCACGTCTGGCTGCCCATTACACAAATCCCACTGGCATTCTGGGATGAATAAGTATTGGCAAAAAAAAAAACGTTGCTCTTGGACTGCTGTTTCATACGCAGTCCCTTATAAATATAATAAATTTTTCAGCCAATATTTTTAGGTACACATTTACATTTGGGACCAGCCCTCCGGCCAGTCAGCATGTGTTTAGCAATTATTTGCTGCAATATTAAACAACCATCTCACTCAAATAATGGAAAAATAGTTCAACTATGCAAGAAAAGAGTAAGAATGTGTGTTGATAGTAAGAAGTTTTGGGAGAAGACTAAACTGAAGACCCAGAAATTATTCTGTACCTTCATAGGGCCAAGAGTTTGGATTTAGTTACTTTGTTCTCCAGTGCCAAAGTTTCTCAGTTGATGGAAAACTGTAAAATGTGTTGAAAAACACAAAGTACTATGCTGCACCATAACAATTATTATATATAAAATGAAAGAAGTGATCCAAATGGTTTTCAGGGTGGCTTCCAGCCTTACTGTATCAAAATTATAGACTGTCTGGGTCTATAATTTGCGCGTGAACTCAGTAAGTATTGCGCGGTGCTTGGCACATGCTTAGCAAACTATAAATGCTTATTCCCTTGGCTTAAAGAGGTTGGACTTGTTTTAATCAACTATCAGTGTGTTCTTTTTAGTTCTCTAGAGATAAAATCTTATTGACTGACAGTAGGAGTACTGGTAAAATATTTAAGGGATTGTGATCACTTCCTGTTTATATTTAGCAGGCTGAAAAAAATCAGTGGGCAACATGTGAATTTCTAACTTGCCCATTTTTTTCATGAATACAGTAGCATTCTAATGCTTGAAAACATTTTTGCAATGATGATTCCTTTGCTTTCAGAGCTCAGTTATGCCTGGATCTTCAATGAATACCCTTCCTATCAGGATAACCGCCGCTTCGTTTCTCAAGAGACTGGGAATCTGTATATTGCCAAAGTAGAAAAGTCAGATGTTGGGAACTATACCTGTGTGGTTACGAATACAGTGACAAATCACAAGGTCCTGGGACCACCCACACCACTAATATTGAGAAATGATGGTGAGTTTCCTAAGGGATTTTGTTATTCCCGTGTTTTGAGATCATATGTTGCATATGGAAAACTGTTATATTATTGGCATACAAACGCTGTCTAAATGAAATTTAAGAAAAGTTTAATGCTTTTTACATTTGGTTACCTATATTTGCTCCACTTGTGTAAGAAGTAAACCCATGAATCTGTTTGAAAACTAATTAGAAATTTAATTGCTAATCTCAACAGGAATGGAATGTGGATTTAGGTGAGTATAAATAACAAAGTGTTTCTTTTTCACTTAAAATGTATACACAGGCAGAATGAAGTAGAAGGTTGAACACCTAGCTCATTAATCAATTCTATGTAATTTAGTATTAAGTGTCCAGAAAGAAGTTTTAAATTATCCAAATAACTTCTGGATTTATGATACTAATGAAATAGTTCACACCACAATGAAATGCAGGAATACCAAGGCTTATTTGAGAAATAAATTTTAATTTCCAATACTTTTGTGAAAATGTTTCAAGAAAACATGTGATTTTCCCCTTAATTATCTGGATGAATGACATACAGTGTATGGTAATTCACCGTGTGCTTTTCAAAGGCAATCGTACTGAACTGTATGCCAAAAATCTAGTTCCACTATGCCTTTTCCCCACCAGGAGTCTTTTTATGAATTCTGTCCCCTCTTCTTGAGATGCTTCTCCTCCTCTGAGTCCCAGCCTTTCATTTGACTAAATGATACTGGCCTTTCATTTTCTTCAAGTATATCACTTTCTCCCGGAAGTTACGTCTGTCTGACTCCCTCCCCACTATGCTGCATCAGGTATCTTCTCTATCAAGTCCAATAAAGTCCATTGCTATAACCCCAAGAACTCTTAATTTTGTATCACAATTACCAGTGTGTTTCCCTGTCTCCCTAACTATAAACTTGCTATTTTAGAAGCACATGTAGTGCCTTGATCACTAGTATGTCTCCAATACCTATACAATACCTGGAACATAGGAGATTCTTAATAGATATTTGTGGAGTAAAAGAAAACAAAGCACAATTAAGTCTTTCAATAATGGCCAGTATAGAGATTTAAGCCGCCATGGTTAAATGTTTATGTTTCTATTTTTAAATTCCATGCCCATCAAGTACACACTTGAGCCTTCCATTATGAACAGGAATTACTAGACCCATTGTACAGGTAAGGAAACTGTCAGACAAGAATGTTAACAACAAGCTTTTACTAGGTACTTAACTATTTGCTGGATGCTCAGAATTTTACCAGAATTATTTCAGTGAAACCTCAAGCAACTATATGAGGAATATCCTCTTTTATCTTTTATAGATGAATGAACTGGGGCTCAGACATGTTAAATAACAAACCCCAAAGCCACATACCTAGCTAAAAACTAATGGCTCTACAGTTCACACTTAGTTCCCACGTCTTGTTGATTCCAGAGCTAATACATTAATGCCTCAATCACTAGGTTTCATTTCATTACAGTCTACCACCTCTTACCTGAATTTGTACAACACAAACTTGCGGATTCAAGCCTAGAACTCAGATTTCTCTCCAAATATGTTCTTCTTCCCTTCTGTACTGAAGGGACTTTGTACCCAGGTACAGCTGTGAATATGAATTTCTTAGAACAGGATATTTGTAGACAAACCAACTTGCAAATAGGGTCTGAGCATCCTTACAGCATAAACCGTACTATGGAATTTTTTAGCAAATGATGTAGATTTGAATCATTCCTTTATTTACTCATGCATTTAACATGTATTTATTTAGCACTTACTATGTGACAGCCACTATTAGTGCAGTGAACAAGAACAATAGGGCCACTATCTCATTTCACCCACATGTTCTGGGAGGACACAGGTAAAAAACAAACATAAACAAAAACAAAAACCCAATTACTTTAGTACTAAATACAACAGTATGATAAAATACAGGTCCTATGGAGTGCAATGTCTACTTTAGGCAGAATTGTCACTGAAAACCTTTCTGAGGAGATGACATATGAGCTGAGACAATTCTAAGAAGTCAGCCCCTGTGATGGTCAGAGGGAGGAGCAGTGCAGACTGAGTTGACATCACATGCAAAGGCCCTGAGGCCTGAAAAAACACTGGGCATGTTCAGGAAGAAAAGAGAATGTGAGCATGGACAGAGCATAATGAGCAGGGTGAAGGTTGCTTCGAGTTGATATTGGAAAAGAATCAGTAGCCAGATCATGTTGACCATGGAAAAAAGCCTGGATTTTATCTCAAGGGCGATGAGAAGCCATTAGAGGATTTTATGCAAGATAGTGATGTATGTTTTGTAAAAGTTTCCTTAGCTACTGTGTAGAGATTGACTAAACAAGTGAGAGTGGTCGCTGCATGTCCAACTGAAAGACTCTGCAGCAATTCAGTTGGGAAATGGTGGCAGCTTGAACTAGGGAGTAGCAGGGGGAACAGAGAAGTGGATGGATTGAGAATCTGGTTTGCGGGTAAAGCTGCCCGAATTTGCCTATGCACTGAATGTGGGAGGTGTTGGAAGAGAAAATCAGGGGTGACACATAGGTTTCTGGTGTAACAACTGGGTTGATGGGAATGCCATTTACTGAGGTTTTACTGAACAGGGTTGGAAGGGGGAAATCCAAAGTATTATTTTAGTCATTATTTGTAAAGCCAAAAGCTTGACTTTTCTCTTGGCAACAGAAAGAAGTATTTGCTTTCTGCTGCTTTTGCCATCTCTCTGTCATAACACCCGTCTGATATATTCACATGTGCTTATCAGCTCGCCTTCTCCACCTCGCCGACATTGTGATCAAGCACAGATTGTAGGTTTCATCCAGCTTTGTTCTGGGGACCAGCACAGTGCTTGCCAGATGACACACGTTAAATTAATATGTTGGAATAAGATGAATTAGATTAAATAAAACTAAAAATTTTATCCATTTATAAAGCTATTGATGCTCTCTCTCCAGACCTAAGGATGAAGAAACTTTGTCAAAAGATGTGCTCCAATGGCGTTTTGTATAGAATTATTTAAAAATAAATCCCTCTGACCTCTGTTTATAATGCACTTACACCAGAATGTCTGTTCAGTGGTGTTATTATCCATTCAGGTGTCTCAAGTAACAAATGTAATGAAATATTGATGATTCACTAAGACCTAGCCCAGGAGACATGTTGCACAGAGTTGCTAGAAGGAACACAAATTCAGGAACATAAGAACTCCAGAATCATGGACACCTCAAGTTGGCAACAACTTTGCCTTTGCTTCGTTTTTAGATATATCTTGACTTGTGTAATATATCTTCATAGAGATGCCAAATGTTTTTGATAGAATGTTTTATCACAAAATTAGCAGAATAAGGATCTCATTCTTCAGCAATTAATGCCCATTCATTCTTAATTTCCATGAGAGTTGCATGGTGAAAATTCATAATATGTCTATCCCATTTGGGTTGGAGTATATAAAATGGATACTTGAACTATATTACTGAGCACAAAATAGGTTATTTAATTAGCTCTTTCTGGAGGTAAGAGAAAAAGGGAAATATAAATCAAGAAGAGATTGCAAAATAAAGATGACATTCTTATTAAAGTCTATTCCACAGGAATAAAATCAATAAAATTATCATTCTGTATGATCTTGTATTTAGGGACTGTATATTAGACTGATAAGTACAAGGCTGTATAGAATTTGTACAATCATTTTGTTAATTGAAGCTCTCCCAAAATTGCACATCCTCCTTCTGCCTCCGAAATGCAAATAAGCAAGGCAACAGAGTTTATTGCCTGAAGTGAACTAATTACCATGGCTAGTCATTTTCTCTGCTAAGTGCAGATGTAGTTTAAAGAACTAGATGTCCTCAATATTCAGGTTATTTCCTTGGAGTTCCAGCTAAGCATTTCTGGACTATGATTCATTGTTTCCAGCCCAAAAGGTGACAGTGAGTCATAAAGAGTGAACAGTGAACGTTGACTCAAGTCCTGAAAGGCATCAAGTGTGATGTGTCCCATGTTTATCCCACTGACCCTTTTTACCCCTTGTCCCCAGCTCACCACAAGTCGGCAAGACTTCAGTACTTTATGTTCCCTTCACACCCCCACACCGTTCACCTGGCTCACCCCTTCCTATGTCTCAGATTGTTACTGAAATGTAGAACAGGATGGTTTAGAGGTCAGACCTGAGGACTCTGGAACTGGGCTCCCAGGGTAGAATACAGCTGTGCCACCTATTAGCTATGTGACTGTGGATGTCAGTTTCATCTCCCTGTGCTCCGTTTTCTCATCAGTCAAGTGAGGATGATAGTACCTAGCTCAGAGGCTTATTTTCTGGGTTAAATTACAAATAAAGTGCTTTGATCAATGACAAAATAGATAGGCAGCATCAGTAACTTACTTACATAGATATACTCAACAAATTATATCTATATACTTAATATTTTTTAATGTTTACTTTTGAGAGAGAGAGAGAGTACATGTGTGTGCACGAGCAGGGGAGAGGCAGAGAGAGAGAGAGGGACACAGAGGATCCGAAGCAGGCTCTGTGCTGACAGCAGAGAGCCCAATGGGTGGGACTCGAACTGTTAGATCACAACCTGAGCCAAAGTCAGACACTTAACCAGCAGAGCCACCCAGGCACCCCTCAACAAATTATATTTTTAAAAACATTACATAGTGTATAGATAGTATGATCCTTCTTTTGTAAAGTATATGTGAATTAGGACGGAGAAGGTTGGAAATACTGCTCTTCAAAATGCTAACAGTGTTAAACTTTGAAGTATTTAACTTTCAGTGGCAAAATGTTTGATTCTTATTTTTTTTCTATTTGCTTTGTTGTATTTTCTAATTTTTCTACAATGACTAGAGATATTTTGAATTTTTAGAAAAACATTTGGTAAAAGGGTTATGTATAGATTATTGACTCTACAAGACACTTAGAGATCACCCAGTTTTCTATCTTTATTCTTTGACAAAGAAGAGCATTGAAAACCAGGAGAGTAAGGTGAGGAAGTACCGGGGAGAAATGCCCAGTGC